CCTTAATCATAATTTTCCCTCTAGGAGAACATGAGAGAAGGGCCAGAGCAGGCAACAATCAACTAAAACAGAGTATAAAACATCAGGCGTGGAAGACAGCTTTATTTTACCTCGTTCATCACCGGAGATTGTGAACTTGTGTGGGCTTTGTCCAGTCCATAAGCCTACGTAACCAAGAAATGTGGTGCCTTGATATGCTATCTGAAAACAGGAAACATGCACTATTTTAGCATTCTGGAACAGAACACTAGTTAAAATATAGGCAACAGTCTGAAGCAGCACCCTGTACTTTTTTCTGTGACTTTCATATCCAAGCTGCCATAAAACACCTTGCCTTAAATTACAGTAAAACTTGCAAAGTAAATTATAAAAAGACCCTGAGGACCAAAATTCACTGCATTTCCTTTGTTAACAATCGCCAACTGCTACAAAAGTTTTGCTCAAGTTAGCGAATAGCCAAGCAAGAAACATAAAGTTCTCCATTTGCAAAATGGACTGATGAATATTAAGAAAATCACACTAACAAGGACTACACTAGCAACTAGTTTGTTTTTGGAAATTTTAATCTAAAACATACACATTGCTCATGAAAATTAACAAGGCCTTAGAATCAGTCCCTGCCAAAACTGATCTCTTTTCTATATTCTCTAGTACTTCTTTTTTTTTTTTTATATATTTTGACATTTCTTTCTTTCAATATCTCCTACCAAGTAACTATTGTGAGATAGTAGATTATGCTGTTCTAGTTGTTCCATTTTGTCACCACAAACTCGATGTCCAGAAAGCAAAGAAAACCACCATTCATCCCACATTCCTAGACAGACTGACTGTGGGGCTCTAATAATCTAGTAAACTTGTATGGGAACCACAATCCTACATTAAATCCCACTGCCAACGCAGATGTATGACCATACCCCAATTCCTTCACAGAATACCACCCAGCCACGTCAACCACAGATCATACCTGCCCACTTTTTATAAACCGCACATCAATTGTAATCTTGCTTAATATATCAACAAAATCGTAATCCAGGTTCCGACCATGGTAAATGTTTCCTTTGTCATCCTGAGCAACAATACTAGTACAGAACCTTCAAAGTCAAAAAGGAGAAAGAATGATTTAAGAAAAAGCTATGAGAATGCTTTCAGTATTATAGTTGAATTAGCTCAACATTTCAGAAGGAACAACTGAGATTATCTTCTGTAAAGTGTTTTACTAATGTAAGCATACAAATAGGAGTTTGCATTACATCACTAACGCTTATGCTTCCCAACCTGAGAATTGTCTCTTCCTACACTTTTTGGTAAGATTTCTTACAGGTTTTAATTTCAAATTGGAAAAAAAAAAATTAAAAAAAAGGACAGAATGGATTGACTGAAGCTCTGCATAACTATACAACACGGCAATGTTCTGTATGTCTAATGCACGATATCCATAACAGAAAGTCCTTTCCTACAGAGTCTAAGATATAAAACTGTACAATACTTATCAGGTCCCACCTGGCTCAGAAAGTCAAAATCCGCACTACTGTCCACATCAGGTCAGATATTACAGTCCAGGTAGGAGGCAGCATTTCCACTTGGGAAAAAATTCGTTATTCCATTTTACTTCTTTTATAAATCAAGATGAAAAGCTGACATCTAAAAATGTTCGCAAAGTATCAGTCTGAAACTTTCTGGATTTCATTTTGACAATCATAGATAATTTCATTTCAATGTGGACTGCATTTATATTTTTAATCACAGCTAGATAAAAAATTCAAACAGTCCTTTCAAACTGAAAACATCAGTTGTTGTTAAAGTGTCAGCCATTTCAATAATAGTCTAACCTCTTCTCTAGAATGGGAAGTGTGCTGAAATTCCTTTTTTAATAACAGTTTCAGTTTCGTTGAAACAGGCTTTTTTATGAAGTATACTGAATTAGCAGGAATTTAAAGTTTATTTTCTGTGGAATTATGAATTTGTCATTCCAGGGATGCATAGCACCGTCTTTCAAAACTGTAAAAGTAAAAAATTTTGCAAACAATTAGTTTGTTCCTGGTTGATGTTTTTTCTTTAGTATAGTTAGAGCTGAGAAACTTAAAACTTCATGAGCCTTACCAGGGTTAAGAATTATAAGTTTCCTCTGTGAAATACTAAGAAAGCTAGCATTTAAATGACTATCTTACCTGATATTAATCCTTATCTTAAAAAAAAGCACTTTAACCAAATACCACACATTAAGAAAAATAATAATCCTAATGCGTACAAGGAGCTGTATGCACCTGTTTTTTATTAAAAACTATATGGGGAAATATTTTTATGATCCTCAGGCAAAACAGAGTGTTTATTATTCTTCTGCACATGCCTCTAGGGCAAAAAAAGACAATGAAACTGAGTATTTTTTCCACTGAGGTTTTGTTTGCTGTATAAAGACATCCATTTTCCAGTATGCAAATCAAAAAAAATTACATTATACTGTCATTGTGAATATTCATCTAGAAAATGGTGTAGAAGCAACTTTATCTTATGGTTGAATGGTTAAAATAATTAGATTGCAACTAATCATTCTAGTTTCCTTTTTGGTGAAATGCAACAATTTAAATGACAAAAGAGTACATTACCTGATCTTCAAAGATAAATGAATCCAAATACCTTGAATAGATCACCCTTCCTTATTAGCAGAAATTATCTTCATACTTCTATACATTTATACATATATACATACACAAAAACATCACACCTACATGTCACCTTTATTAACAAATAAAAACACTACTCTGCATTTCTCGTTCAATTCAGGATACGAACTGCCTAATGAGAATGAAACCTTCCAGCTGAACGTATGAAATGGTATGAGAATGAACAGTGCAAATCATCTGCGTTTTTGTGTGTTCTCCCACACTGAACTAGAAGGAATCTCTACATCCATTTCTACCAGATTCTGTAAGTACCAGACACTTACGCAGTAGATTCATAGGCAAAGTTAAGCAGGACTCCATCTCCAAGACTTATTCCCAGTGCTTTGCACAGTCCCCGAATTTCCCCCGCGAAGGGCTGTGGCATAAAGAACTCCAATTCTGCTGCTATCGGCCGAATAACTTCGTGGACCCATTTTGGTACACTTTCACTGCAAAACACACTCAAGGCATTAGCTGAGACAAAAAGGTTTGCAACCTGGCAGTCAGATACCCAAGGAGCCTGCCACTTCTCTGATCAGCCCGTCCCAGATTATGCTGCCCCCCCACTAGCAGCCTCTCCCGCGCTGCATCAGACATCCCTGCATCCTACCCCTCACCAAGTCAGCTTCTGCTTGCCCCCAAAGAAGCCACGACCCCAGTAAAGCATTCAGCACAGGCTTCCTACTTGTCAGGTTTTTCATTCCTACTAGGGATCTCCCCAGTCTGTCCTCTGCCAGGTTCCGAAGTGTACCCCTTATGCAGCGGCAGTAGGTTAACACTCAAAAAAAACCCGGAATTTTGGAGTTCAGAG